TAAAAATCCATTTGTCGAAGCATTCTAAAGAGTAAAATATGAGTTAAGAGAATAATCGCTTGTGAATATACTGAAGCTGCAGCACCCTGCTATCCTTGAGACACTATTGTATGGTTTTTTTTAGCATTTGACTACAAAGTGCCTCTAAGTGTTTAATCTACTGACTTGTTGAAAAGTTTTTCATAGACAGCTATAAAAACTGGACACGTGTATCTGAATGGGTATCTAGTAGTGTCCTGCGGGAACGACATTTTTCCCTAATTTTCCCATTCCCATTCCCATGGGAATGGGAATGGGAATTCCCATTTAGACTTAGGGAATGGGAAGATGGGAATGGGAATTCTCATTTAGACTTAGGGAATGGGAACATGGGAAAGGGAACAGAATTAAAAATTGACGTTCCCAAAATTCTTTTTATCTTATTTCAATACATATAAAAATATTTCTATCTGATAACTGTTTATTTTCAATAACTTTTCTTATTCATATACAATTAACAAAAAAATAACAAATGTGTATCAACAAAAAATAGACCAGTGGCGGCGGAGCCATTAGGCTTGGGGAGGCTCAAGCCTCCCCTAAAAACAGGCAGGGGAGGCTTGGGAAGGCTTATATTTTGGAAAAACCTCACAAATCTTATCATGAGCTTATATTTAGTATGCGAAAGTTCTTTGAACAATAGTACGTTCAGTCTCATGCTAGATAGCACAATAAGCGGCAAACCAGTTGCGCTTAAGAAAGCTCAAGTCTCACCTAAAAATCAAAAGCAACATCTGAGAGAGATCCGATAGTTGAGAAAATTTTAGAAATGTCATTCAGAATTTGAGAATGAATGTCACAAAATGTTATCAACATAGCTTATATTGCATGTATCTTTGCATGAACAAATGCTAAAATCGTGAATTTTTTTCAAAAAATACGCTGCCGGTGGTGTCCAAAATAACTATCAAAAACTCCTGCTAGCTTACTGTATGAAATAATACCTATTTTGCATCTAACATGCGGTGCAAAAGCAATGGAAAAACTGTCGAAGTCTATAAGACCTTATTGCCGACTATTTGATCAATAATTGTTTTTTTTATTAGAAAGAGAAATGTCTGAACTACAACTTTTGTACCGTACATATTTTTCCAGAATGTCTCTGAGAAGGAGGAAAAGCCAAAAACTGATGTCTCTAAAACAGTACTTGCAACTTCATCTCTTAGCAGCATCATTTTTTATTTTCTTTGAATATTTATTACATCAGAAGAGGATATACAAATCACGTTTAATGATGATTTTTGTAGCAAAAAGAATGCTCTTTTCAGTGGTATATTGCATGTCAAAATTATCTTTGGTTTTCATATCAAAGTATTGATTTTTCTGAAAGAGACTGCATGATTTGCTCGTGCTCACTACCTGACCGTTCTGCAAAGGTAAAAAAATGTTTTTTTGAATTATTTTTTGCTGCTAAGTTTTCATGATCTCACATATTTCACACAAATAACGCAAAAAGAATTGAATTTATGTGTGATTTCTATAGATGATGGCTGATATTCTTGCACACTGATAATTCTTGTAAACGCCTTTATTTTACAAAAATTTCATTTTTCAAAAATTTCATTTTTCAAACCTTTCTGATTAAAGAGTCAATATGAACATAAAATAATTTACCTAAGGTGGCATTGATAGTGTTTTTAATGCACTCCATTTTGGTGTATTTTAGATTAAAACTTGATCTATGTAGCTCAAAATAATCAAGTAATACTGATTTTTCAAATTACAAAAACGTTGCAAGCACTTTTATAGAGATGTCCAGTTTTTGGGTTTTCCTCCTTCTCAGAGACGTTCTGAAGAAATATGCGCGGTACAAAAGTTGCAGTGCAGACATTGCTCTTTCCGACAAAAACAAAATTATTGATCTAGAAGTTGATAATATGGTCTAATAGATTTCGACATTTTTTCCATTTCTTTTGCACCGCGTGTTATTTTCGCCAGAAAATGAAAAAAATATGAATCTCTTTTAGAGATGTGTGATTACACTTTCCACAATATTCATAGAAAAAGGTTTTCCTAGTTTATTGTAATCAATTTGGAGAGGAGGAAAAAAGTAATGCTGTACGGCACTGGGTAATTTTTCACGATAACAGTAAACTGAACGCTACAAAAAAGCATAATTCTTATCAAAATCAAGTTTAATGTATTAAAACACACTACTGAATGCAATGATAATACCAAAATTATATGTTTCTTGTTTGAAGATCGCCTTAAAGAATTCAAATTGAATAGTTAGGTAATTAGTTGTTTAAATAGTGAAACAAATTTATTTCAGAAAAGTGAAAAATATAGTATCTTGCACGCCTTTGCTTTTAGTTCTGTCAAAACCAATTGAGACAATTCAAGAGAACATTTTGCTTCTTTAAAAACAGATTCAAGTTTTCAGGGTTTTTATGTGAGAAAATAAATATGACAAATATTTTTATTACTTTCAGTATGATATGACATAGCAATGTTTTATATATCCTATGTTTCACTATTCTAAGAACTCATTACAACAGGTCGACAAGACATTGTGATGCATTGGTGTAGAGAATTCAACAACAGCTTCTATGATTCATTTTTTCGAAATTTTTCTGTAAGTTCCTGTACTTATGTACTACTTTCATCGTCAACTGAACGAAATTGAGGCAAACACGGGCATGTGATCGAAGATGGAAGTAGACAAGACTTCAGATGAAGAACAACTGAAGATGAAAGCTTTTTCTTCAAAATCATGGTTTTTTTAATAGAGTTATATTATGTTCTATGCTATGAAGCAGAGAAATTTTGTGATTAAAACGAATCCTGTAAATACTAAAGAAATAAATCACGAAAGATTCACAACTTCCATAGAACATCTTCCCAAAACATTCCAAGATTATATCAGTCACCTATAGAAGGATATATGCAAAATAAACTCTGTTGAAAAAACATCGAGATATCCGATATCTCTTTGCTAAGAGTCAGGGTTGAAAAGCCAGAAAATACCCCTCCTCGTACATCACCTTCGGATCACCGCCTGAGGAGTTTTGAGCCTCCCCTAGATTAGAATCGTTCCGCCGCCTCTGAAATAGACTATTGATTTATTCTTAATCACATCGTAATTTAATCATCACAAATATTATTTTCTTTTTCATCATCGACTTCGAAAATGACATTACCAAGATCATGTTGCGATACATCATTATTTTCTCTTCCTTCCCTCAAATAGAAAATAAATAAAAAACTATAAATAAATATTAAGGTTATTTACAACAAAAAAAACAAACGATTTATCAATAAATAATCTCAATATTTATCTATAATTTTTTTAATTTTCTATTTGGGTGAGGGGAGGGGAACACTTTACTATAAGAGGAACATTCTCTCTATATGATGAACACTATGTTGGACGATACATTTTCTAATTACACAGTGGAACACTTTTTTAAGGAAAAAGCACACCAGCTTGAATGTATCGTGCATATATGCAGGAACACCTGCTTAACCAATGCCAACAAGCACAACAAAACAGAAAAAGAAAATAAGTGAAGCATTATGTAACAGCGTCGCGATGCGCAAAACGTGATGTTGCGAGAAACTGGTATACATATATGCCAATGACACTTTCGCATAGATGAACAGAGCCTTAGAAAATCTTATGGGAACTATGGGAATGGGAACGTGGGAATGGGAACAAAAAATTTTTTCTAGGGAATGGGAAAAAGGGAATGGGAACAAAAATTTTTTTTAGGGAATGGGAAAAAGGGAATGGGAACAAAAATTTTTTTTTAGGGAATGGGAATAGGGAATGGGAATCAGAAAAAGTCGTTCCCGCAGGATACTAGTATCTAGTCAGTATCTATGTACGAAAATGATTCTTAGCAGAGTACTCACGAAAGATGCTGATTTCGATCAACTACTATTTCTGATTCTTTATCAGTCTTTTTTATCAATTTGTTCAAAATATTATGTGTAATGTTAAATGTATAAATAGAATTAAATGCCAAGACACTATGGATCTCGTTGGTCCAGAACATGACGCCGTACGTCGTTGTTTTTATATTTCCATAAAACAAGATGATGGATTACGGCAAAAATACGACACAACTTAGTTCAGTATTAGGATATTTTAGAGTTGACTAAAAGACCTTTTCTGGTGGTCGAAATGATCATTCTGATATTGTACTCTCTACGTACATGATGATCTTTCTCATATGATTTCCTATTTAGGTAAAATTTCAACAATTTTATATGTTTTTTCTTCAGAAGTGGATCATTCTTGCGTAAGAACTTTTATTAATCATTATATTCAAACTTATGCAATATCTAACTTTGAATAATGAAATCGACATCAAATTTTACATAATTTATCTTTTCTGTAGATGTCACTGAATTACAGCAAGAGAAATTTTGTGTATTTTTCAAAATTTGAAGAAAAATAAAAATTGAAAATTTTATCAAGTGTATTTTTCTCTAAAAAAAATTTTCAAATATTAAAATTTAATTGTACACAAAAATTTCGCAATAACAGAACATGGACTATGTCCTCACCTATTTGTTGACGTCTGTTGTTTTTTTTATTTAGATTCTCTTTTGAGTCTATCAATTCTTGTTATTATTTTGTGAGCGATTGACTAGTACTGTGAGATTACAGTGCTAGACAGAACTAACTATTTTATTCGAAACATTTTTCAACTATCTTCTTGCATCTTTGGGCTCTCATCTTTCGAGTACCTGAAGGTTATTTTCTCACTCTGTCGTCATATACAATTTTAAATAATTTAATCCACACCAACGATCATCGAAACAATTCATTGAATTCTACATTTTTATCATTATGGCCGGAAAACACTTTTTGTGAAACAAACTATGATTACGAAAATTACGAAAGCACTCATCAAGAACAAAAACAACAATCAATCCTTAAGCATCAAGAACAGGGAGAAAACATCCGAAATAATTTATCTCACAACAAAACCCAATATTTGGATACAAGACAAATGGCCGATAATATTAGTAACAGTAATGAACAACGACAATTTAATGGAGGAGGAGGTAATGGAGCAAATAATAACAATATGGTGACTCGAAAAAAGGCTAATAATAGTAAAAAATAAAATCTTATTCAAAATATAAACTTACTTTATATTTCATATTTAGTAAGTGGTGGTGATTTAACTGCGTCACCAAAATATAATAAATCAAATTCACGTGGATATAATAAGGAAATTCAACAACAAAAACAATATCGAGGAAATAACAATAATAATCGACAACAACGAGGCGGTGGTAATTTCAAATATCGAAATGAGGGACAAAACAATTCTTATCGAGTAAGCTATTAAGTTATTTTACAATACTTCTACAAAAAGAATTTTTTTTTCAATACTACTAATCATCTAAATAGTATATTGAGAAATCTTCTTGTTAAAAACTAAAGATAACAATTCTTAAAAAATTTTAATATATCGTCAAAAAAAAACTATAAGGTCATCAAGTTCTCTAACTACTTCTCTTATCAATTTACTAGCAATCGAAGCAAGAAGACAATGCAATTAAAAAGGAAACGAATCTAAACATCAAAGTGAACTGATTGATTTCAAATTTTTATTTCATATTTCGAGAGATTTCTTTTCTATAAATAAATATTTATAGAGTGAAAAAACCGATAATTTTGATCTGGTTGGTGTGGATGATGAAAATCCTAATGATGAAACTAATGAAGATTTGGATTTTGATGATCATTATCGAAATAAACGTGGTTGTAATAGTGCAAAAAAGACAAATATGAGTCATTTACTTAATTTTCATTATGTTGATAAACAACGTGTTAATGTACGTGGTAATCGTCGATCATTTAATTCAAATTATTATTTAAATAATAGATGGTCATCAAATGGAAATTCAACAAATAGACAATCATTTTCTAAAGAACAATTTCTTCAAGCAAAGTAAATTAAATTGAAAAAAAAGAAAATATTTTTCTAAAATAAAAATTTTAGTTGTCAATTTATTGTTCAAGCAGATTCAAATGATTATTCAATTCATTTTGCTAATCCAGATGTAGCTATTGATTGGTCACGTGTTGAACAAGTTCGGTTACATTCAATGCATCCACTCAAATGTCCTATTTGTTTATCGGAACCACAAGCAGGAAAAATTACACGTTGTGGACATGTTTATTGTTGGTCATGTTTATTACATTATTTAGCATTGAGTGATAAACCTTGGAGAAAATGTCCTGTTTGTTCAGAATCAATTTATAAAGAAGATATTCGAAGGTTTTTTTTTTTAAATTGATTATAAATTATGTTTGACAATAAAAAGAAAACTGTTTGTTTTTTGAAAATTTTAGTGTTCGTGGAATAGTTTCTCGTTGTTTAAAACCAGGTGATTGGATAACATTTCGTTTAATGTGTCGTGAACGTGGTTCAGTTCTATTTCATCCAAGAAAAAATTTTAATAATATTACATTAAAACATGAACCTGAACGTCTTTTAATGAAATCAAATATACAACAATATGCTCATTTATTATCAGCTGATAATGAAACAATTTTAAGTGAAATAATTGAAAAAGAAAAATTTGAATTATTACAACAATTAGAAGAAGATGGAGATCAACCAGAAGCTTGTTTTATTAAACAAGCACTCGAAGAAAATAATGTAAATTTTAAATATTATTTTCTTTTCAATAATTTTTGTTTTTTTTTTTTCGTTTATGTTCGATAGGAAAGAGAAAAAATTGTTCGAGAACGAATTGATAAAATGAAAAATATCGATGAAATCAAGTTAATACCAAAACAAACAAAAGAAGAAGAAAAATTATTACCAACTAAAGTATGTTGAATTAATAAATAAATATTATTACAAAATAAAAAACATTTTGTATAATAAATTCTTAAAAAGCAAAGAGTATTGATCTAAATAGATGTTCAATTATAAAATAGTCAAATTTTTCGAACGTTTTGATTTTTGTGAGGTCTTACATTATTAGAAATACTATTTAAAATTAGTTTATCTCCTAAATCGGTCCTATTCGATAACTTCTCAGTTTGATTCTATTGATATCAATGATGATGATTCATTATTTTATTCAATATAGAAGAGAATAACAAAACATTAATTCAAAAGTTATCAACACCTATAATACATACGCATGTTATCTATAGAACGAAAAACAAAAGATTAAGTTGTTTGTTTTTATAGCTTTCTCGTATTGAATTGCTAATGATAAATCTTGATAACTAAGTACAAATGCAGTATGATATATAGTTGAAAATTGCATACTAGCAGTTTGCTTTTCATATTCAATATATTTGTCTTAACAATAATCGTTGATATATCATATGATTTAAGATGGATTATTAAATGAGTTTTGTTCAACTAAGGATCATTCGAGAATGAATTCCATTAAATGATTAATCATGAATGGATTGAAAAGGATTCAAATAAAAGATCATCGAATAGAATCGAACCGGCAACTGCTACTTCTAAATCGATCAACAAAATCCACTTTTTCAGATGTTATACAAGATATAAAATTGAATTTTAAAATGAAATGAATATTTTTCTTTTATTTTGAATGGATAATTAAATTCTATTGACAACGAATAAGACAATAAGGTTGTTGAAGAATATGGCAGATCCCATTCATATTCTCAAACTGCATATCAAGATTATGTTCGATAGAGCATTTGGATTCTTTTCTTTTTCTCGTTAAGTGAGAAACTATTTTAAGTTGAATAGTATTCTATTTCGGGTATATCTTGTTGTCTATCATCAGAATGAATATGTTTAATTGATATCAATTGAAATTTGATCAATTGCTAAAAAATTCATCTCTATTCACAATGATTTACTTGAATCATTGACTAATTTCTTTATATTTCATTTGAATAATTCTCATATGATAAATTCAAATAAAGAAAATTTTATAGAATTTTCTACTTTTTATATTAACATAAATTTTCTTAAATTTACATAATGTTTTTATGTTTTAATTTTAGCCTGTATTAGTTTATGACAATGCTTTTAATAATATTATCGAATCTAGACAAGAAGAAAAATTAAACATTAGTAGCGAAGAAAAACTTGATACAAATATATCTTCACCTACTGGTTTGTATTTTCATTTCGATATATTTTCTATATATCGATCTTTATACATCATACAGATAAAAGTCCTTTGTGTGCAGCATCAGTATCAAATGTACAACCAAATCGACATTATTTTTATAAAGGTTACTATATTTATTAGATTGAAAATACGAATTAAAATATTCTAATTTTAGCTGATGATATTTATCATGCATATTTAAGTGGATTAAATACTCGAATTTTACTTCATGAATATGGTTCTTATCAACAATGTCCTGATGAACTTCATTTTCGAGTTGAAGCAATTGAAAGTTTTTTTATGACTGAAGTTAGTTTTTAATATAACAACAAAAAAATCTATATTTTCAAATGATCGAATAATATTTTTTTTTTTTGTTTTTAAAAGGAACTTCGATCACAATTTCGTTCACTAAGCCATTTACCATTAACATGTGAATTTCAAGTTATTGAAATTCGTCTTCATCCACCATTGATTTCTTCTGAAACAATGCAAATGTTTGCAGGTTAATTTTTATTTTTTTCATTTTCAAAATTGTTTTTTTTTTCTAAAAATTTAGACGAAATTCATCATCGTCGTCAATTACGTGTACGAAAAGAACGTCTAGAAAAACGAAGACAACAACAAGCTGAATTAGTTGAAAGTCAAAAATTATTATCACAATGTAATTAAATTTAATTGCATAGTTTTTTTTTTGAAAACTATTTTTATTTATATTCAAAAAAGATCCACCCGAAATGATGTATATACCACAAGAAAGTTTTCCTATAAATGGAACAAATTCGATGGAAGAATTTCCAGCTATGATTAGTAGTGTAACATCTTCATCACCACCATCAGCAACTGTTCAATTATCTGATGAAAATTTATCACCACCAACAGGTGTTTCATTTGCTCAAATGCTTAAACAACAAGCTCCACCTGTACTTAAACCATTACCAGTCAATAAATCAGCTATTGAAAAAAGTGTATCTATTGATATTTCGAAAAAAACTCAAAAGAATAAAAAAAAGAAAAATAATAATGATAGTGATGAAGATCATATTAATGATGATGAAGAATATTATGCAAATGTACCTAATTTTCATTCGAGTTTTAGTCTTGAAGAAGTTTTTGATCGACTTAAACTTGGTTTGTATTTTAGTTATTTATTTATTTTTTTCTATGTTTACAAGAAGAAAAAAAAAACATTTTGTCTTTTCTTTTTTGTCTAGTAAATGGTGAAGAACATCCTGCATCATCAATTGGTGAAATTACAAGCAATGTTACAACTAAAAAAAAGAATAAAAAAAATAAACAAGTATTGTTTGCCACTGGTTTAGGTAGTCAAGTCAAACTGTGAAAATCTATTACTGAAGTGACAGCAAATCACTGTTTATCTATCTGTCTGTTTTTCTTTTCTATTTGCCTTTAGTTTTCTCTATTTCTTTGTTTTGAATAAATAAACATATACATACATATATTCCCGGCGCTAACTTAAATACTCATTCTTTATTGATCTTCTAAAGATAATAAATCAAACAAGATTGAAAATATAATTATAGAAAAATTTTATATCTGATATCAAATTAAAAGATGTTTTGGCTAACAATCGATCGTGTACGTGAATATTTTTTATTACATATTTGTAAAGAAGATTATAAATACTTGTAATTTCTAAGTGAACAACAAATTTTAGCTATTGTTTTATATGTATATAATAGGATGTTCGAAGAGTCATTAACCAATGACTTGAGAAATATTTGTTGGACATTTTTTGACAAATCAGATACGTTTGTCTCAAGTCTAGTGTCTGTAAAAATCTTAAAAACATGTCGTTTTATTTAGTTTACTTTTCATCAAGATTTTATAATGAAGAACAAACAAACTAGTCTAAAGAAATCTATCAATCACTCTAGATTTTTTTTTCAGACGTGTTAAAGCAATGTTTATAAAACAAGAGGAATAGGTCTGAGTGACTGAAAGCTTATTATAGTGAAAGAAAATTGAAGAAATTCAAGATAAAATTGTACAGATTGTGTTTTGTAACTCGTAATAGGAATCTATTATGTTGAGAATCTGTAAATATTCTTTTGTTGAAGTGATTGAAAGCTTTATATTTATGAATAAAAACTTGAAAGTGACTTCTACTATCAGTACAAAAAAACCAGTTCATCTAATAGAACTATACGGAAAATATACAATGTGTTCTTTTTGATCAATGACTTTCCGAACAACCTGTACATAAATATATTTGTATAGCAAGTATTCACTAACTACGGATAAGAAGATAAACAGATAAAGGTATCAATACCGAAATGTATTAGTTGAAACATCTAGAATGGTTTAATTAAAGTAATTAGTACTGGTATGTTACGGCACTATCTTAAAAAAATGAAATAGTAGTTATAAAATATCAAATATAGATCAATAACTCAAAGAAATTTTTCATAATATCCAATTGCTAGGCAAGCATCAGATTAATTAAATCATAAACATGATCTGAATATTTATGATACGATAATAAAATCGTGTCAAAAAAAACATCCGTTGAATTCAAACATTTTGTCCTCTGATTTGAAAATAATAATATGAATCAACATGTCTAATTTATCATTGTTGAACGATTCTTTTCTGACTAGTTAAATTTATCGTCAATTTTGAAACAATCTTCTTTTTTTTACAAGTCATATTGAACATAAACTAAATACTTTATGGTATCACACACAAATACTTCAAAGGAATCCTGGTTTCTTAATTAATTTTTTTAATATTCATATTAAATTTTATTCATTTGATGTAAAAAGAATCAATATTTTCATTTATTGTTTACGTATCTTTCATTTCAGCATCAATATATTTGAAAAAAAAAATTGTTCTGTCGAAAGAAAATGTCCTTGCACTTGATTGAAGAAAAAGAAAAGCGCAAAAGCAAAGAAAACAGAAGTCGACTTTTATAATATTTATTCATCCTTTTTTTTTTGACAACGATAAAGTGCTTGAATATAAAAGAAAAAGTAATTCATCTGATATCAGTTTATGTACTCCGATGTTTATATCATAAGTATACTTTGCAACATATGTCTTGATATCTTTTAAAACTTGTTTTACCGTTTATGTATTTACTCTTGTTAAATAAAAATATAACCTGGTATATAGTCATGAACAATGATGAACGAGAATGATGTTGTTAAGAATAATAATTGAAATAAATTTTGAATGTGACTACTAAGTAGATTGAATATAATTTATACATTTATGTAAACTAAGACCTTTAAATTAAAAATTTTGATCTTTCGAAATGTTCCATCAAAATTAAAATAAAACGACTTATAGTTTGTTTACTCATCTACTAGGTATAATAGAATACATTGTGTCTATTGTTTCATACAAAAATAGGCGCCATCTGTTATATATTGTATTGCTATTCTATAGGATGGAGGTGTATCGATGTGTATTGAAGTTAAAATGGTATAGAGATTACACAGATTTTAGATTTTTCGATTGTCTTCTTATCTGATTTATACATCATGGGTCCAAAACGAGCAGATACAGTTATGAAAGGAAGCAAATTATCACAAGGTGGGATGAGTGTATTAGGTATGGCTGGTGCTGGAGCATTACTAGAGCAAGGTTATTACACATTTACTTTTCGTTTTTTTTTTTTGAACTGTCATCTTCAATTTTGTACAGATAGTCAGCAGTGTGTAGGTAAATTTGCTGCTGATTTAGAACTATGTTGTCGTGAACCATCTCCAGCCTATCCTATAACAATTCCTGTTCACATTCGTGGTCGTCCACCATCGTCCGCACTTACTCAATCGTTTCAATTACAAAATCAACAACAGCAACAACCACAGCAACAGCAGCAGCAACACACAGGAACACATTCTGGAATGTCAGCTACACCATCATTAGCTGGTGTAGTTGCCGATGAACAATTATCAACAATAGGAAAGAAAACATCTCGTTCAAGAATGACTTCAGTTTGTCAAAGTGGAGTTAATATAGGAATAACAGGCACTGATGGTGACATAAGATCATCTAGTAATATAGGTAAATCAATTCTTTTTGTATACATTTGTAAATAATCTTTGTTATATATAGGACAAGAACAACTAAAAATATCTTCACCGAACTATAAAACATTTCATCTAATTAATGATAGTGATTTTTTTCGACCTAAATTATTGGTAGATTCAGTCGGCAATGATAATGAATCTATCGATCAAATAACAACTCTTTATATCAGAGGTATTGCTTGTTGTTTTTAGTTTTGTATTTTTTTTTCTATTCTCTATCTATACATAGATTGGCAACTTGATCAACGCTTTATTGATATTTTGAAAAAAGTTCTTCCATTACAAGAACAACTTCATACACTTGAGTAACTACTTATATTTTCCTATGCTTTTCTTATTCTTTCTTTTTTTTTACATTTTCTTATAAATATAGTTTCTGTTATGTTGGTCTTAATGAAAAAACTATTCATGGAATAGTTGAATTATGTCAAGTAACAAAAAATTTGAAGTAATTTTTTTTCTTTTTTTTTTCAAGTTATCATAATCGATCGTATCTCTATAACACATGTTTCATTGAAATCATTCATTTTAATTGTTGAATATAACAATAAATAAATAGATATAATTGAAAAATACTACATTCATTGTTTCAGGAATGTTTCACTCGATGGTAATCCATTAGCAGCAGAATATTTTTATCTTTTACTTGAAAAAGATGATTCAAAGTAAAATTTTATATACATATATTTTTCAAGTATCGATTATCTTAAATGTCGATAGAATTATTCAACTATCTCTTCGTTATTGTAATATTACTGATACAGCTGCTGAACGACTTGCTTTTGCTCTTGGTAATATGTTAAAACAAAATCGAAAATTATTAACACTTAATCTAAGTGGAAATCGAATTGGTGATAATGGTGCTAAATCTTTTGCAACAGTAAATAATATATTCATTCTATTCAAATTTAAGTATTTCTTATTTGTTTTTATTTTTATTTTTTAGGCGTTACGTTATAATAGGACATTAATATCTCTTAATCTTTCATCTAATTTTATAACTGATAAAGGTGCTTGTCATTTGGCATTAGTAAGTATATCATTCTAATTATAAATATTATCTTACAAAAATATTTCTTTAGATATAAATAGGGGTACGTTCTTTTTTTTATTTATATAGTTGTCCCTACTAATCAATTTAATTGTATTGACTTTGTTTGATAGAAAGAAAAAAAAAGCCGCTTGTGCATTTTATCAAACATAGTCTAAAATAATGATAGATGTTATCACATTTAGTATAAAATTTGACAAAAAAAAATATTGCTTATGTTTTAAATAATTTGTTTTTATTTTAAATATTAAATACAAAAAAACGATTTTGTTTTGTTTAAAGAAATAATACTTATTGAATAGGTTCTTCGAAGAATTGTTCTTACACAAGAAGAAATCCTTCGACGTCGATATTTAATAGTTAAACGTTATATTGAAATACATCCAGATGAATTTAGAATTTCTGTTAGTTAAAAATCATTTAATTATTAATAAATAAAATATTAATATTTTGTTATTTATTAAGACAAATTCACCAACTCCTTCAAATGTATCAACAAAAAGTAAATCAGGTCGAAGTAGTCGAGCTGATCGAAAACGTGTACCAGAGACAACTAAACGAAAAACAAATATATCAAAAACTACGCAACATATTATGGTATATAAGTTATTTCTTCATTTTCTTCATATATATATTCTATTGAAATACTTTTATTTTTAAAGGAAAAACGTAATCGAAATGAATCTGGTAAAAATATACAATTATGATTATTTATTAATAATAATTTTTATTTCATTTCTTTTTTTCAGATGAAAGTCGTCCACCCTCGGAAAGTAAAGGTGATTTAAGACGAGCACGCAATGAAGGTAGTAGTAGTCGTGCAGGAACACATAATCCTTCTTCAGCAACTCCTAATACATCTCGACGAACAGCTGCTACTACATTAAATACAAGTAATAAAGAATCAGGTAATAAAAAAGAATTCATTATTTTTTTTTTTTTTTTTTGATATAAAATCTGATTTCTTTTGCTCGTTTTTATCTAGATCAATCTCGAACAGCTGCTCCTTCACGTATGAAAAAGATAGCAACGACTGTTAATGTTACAGCAAAAAAGAATATTACAATAGTTAAAGAAGAAGATGAAGATGCAATACAACAGGTAAACAATTGTTTCTATTTATTCTTATAAATCACAATTTAATATGCACCTTATACACATAAATCATACAGGAAGCACTCAATTGTTTGAGTATTCTACTCGATTCTGTTGTAAGTCGAATCGACTAAATATTTTATTCTATTCATACTTGTATATTAATATTTCCTATCCTTGCTTTTTGTACTATATTCTTTTATCTGAATTTGTAAGAAATAGAGATATATTAACTTTTTCTTAATCATTAGGGTCGATCATCTGGTTTATCATCAGCAGGAAAAGTATTTAATGCTCTGTTTTGTATTTATGTCTTTCTTCTTCTTGCTTGCTAACACATTTTTTGATTTTTAAATAATTAGAAAAAAAAAGTAAAAGTTCTTTGAATATTCTTGTTAATTAAATAGACAACATCATTATCAATTCAACAAATTGATGGTGAAAATCCATTACTTGAATCAAGTGAAATTGAATCACAAGATGGTGATGTATGGTTGAAAGGCAATTTAGTTCTTTTAAGTTTAAACTTATCACGTAAAACTTCAAAAGAAACATGTTATTTTTGAAAAACAATTTATATGTTTCTTTTAGGAAATTATTTAACATCAGATAGTGTTCGAGAATTTCTTCTGTCAGTTCAACAGCAATCAGCATTAGCAAGTTTTAATGATGCATTTAATTTATCGTCGTCAACAACAACAACAACAACGACAACAACAACAACTTCACTAACGAGTTTTTTTGGCTTGTGTCGACTTGAATTAAAAGTAATAATTCTTTAACATCGAAGATTTATAAGGAATAATCCATTCGAATGTGAGAAAATTAAGAAACTTTTGTGGAGAGTTCTTCTAACTAAAGCTTATTGGATCGCGTGACAAACAACAGAGATTTCATTCTTGAAGTTTGCTATTTCCGTCTCGTATTGAGTTAAGTCTACAGTTGAATTTAAGACAACATTCATGACATATAATAAATTTCATTAATTTTTTTTTAATCATTCTATTTGTTTTATTCAAAAAGAAAGATTTTATTCATTTAAAACAAATATTAAAAATGAAGAAAATTCTTCTTTACACTATAATATACTTCTCATTATTGTCATAATTATTATAACGAAGTCTAGGGAGTTCATTCGTGACTCAAATCGAATTTCTTCTTTGGAAAAGATGAGCCGACGTCCAAAAACCTTGATTTAATAAGGGTCAAGTATGAAAAATTTGAATCTGATGAACATTCTCTCTCTTTGATATTTTCCAATTGTTGACAATACTTTTTTTTTTTTCTAAACAGGGTATGAATGATATTTCAACAAAGTCACCTGAATATCAATCATTGGAAGCATTACTTGCACAAAAAAGTCCATTATTTCGTTTTCAACAATTTAGAGAACGTGAAGCAAAAGAATTATTCGATCTACAATCGATTCAACCATCACAACAACTTCAACAACCAATACCAGAAAAAACAATAAATGTTTCAGAAAAAACACGAGTACCTTCAAGTGCTAAACCTACAAGTTAGTTTTATTGAAAAAATATTTTATTGTACAAGTTTATTTTAATTATTTTAGATCAACGACCAACATCACGGTTAAAAGACTAAATATTGTGTTTTTTTTCTTCTTTTTCTTCTTCTTTTACAACGAATAAATATATTTATATTCATG